TATATACGCAAGTATAAAATTCTCAAAAAGTGGGTGCTTATTAGCCTTGTTGCATTACTGTTTTCTGTCACGAGAGGCCAAAAAGCATTTTCAGGCCGTATTTCGGCCGTAAAGCGATACGCTAGAGGAACAAGGATAGCACGCGATTGTCGCTCTTTGTCTGATATTATCTCCCAACAATCGCATCCGTGTGCTCAACGTATCGGTGTGTGCCGTCATGGACGCTACACACATACGCAATGAAAGAGAGACAAAGACAGCGCATCATCTCTCTTTGTCAAACGATCAGTGTACTACCAGCTTCGACAATATCGAAAAATGGATGTAGCACGGACATGAACTAAAATCGAAAAGTGGATGTAGCACGGACATGAACCAATTGGCTGTTTTATCGGCTCCGAAAGTGAATGTGGCCATGTAGTTCCAGGCGGCGTAAAATGGATGTACGTGACGCTAGTGTACGACCTAGAAAAAGCGTCACACGAAAAATGGCAGCGTGGCGACTCTCATTCTTCTCTCTGATACTGGTATACTAGAGTCCTATATAGGCTATTTTCCGATATTAATTGTCAGTACTGAAAATGTATAATTTATGTCACGTGCACTATAGATTTTTAGTACTGGCAGTAAATATCGGAACGCAGCCATAATCAGAGAGGCGACATCGTTACCCCCTCCATGCTTCCTATGATCGCCATGTTGAGCCTGCAATTGTCCATTTGTAAATTAAAAATGTCTCAGAGATATTTAAAATGTTTTTTTTTTTAGAAAATAACATTACAAATATACTTCTTTCTCATTTACTGTACGCCGGTTGCGGTTAGTTTGCACGTAGGATTCACTCATAGACATATAGGCTGCGGTCCGAAACAAGCTTACAGCGCTCACGACGTTTAAGGCGCTCATGGCCGGTCCGATTCAAATATCACGCTATAAGTACTTTTGTTTCGGACCAATTGTAAGCTTACTCACGTGCTGTATAACCTAAAATTCTATAATATTTGTTTTTTACAATATGCTTGGAAGTTTTCAAATCTTATTATATGTTTAATATTCATCTTATTTATCGTTGAAATGGAGAATAAAGAGCAGAAAAGTATATTGTTGCAATGTTTGGAATTTTATTGCGAAAGCGATGATAGTGATTTAGAATTTATAATGAATACATCTTTAAGTAGCGATAGTGAAGAGGACGAAACAAGAAATTTTGTAGAAATTATAAATTTATATTTAAATGAAAGAAGAGATAAAATACATAATAGACCTCGCGTCGAGAATTATGTTGAATATACTAATGTTCTTCCTCCTTTTCTAATCGTTGCTTTTCCGCGCATTTCTGACGTCACGTAACTAGGATGCTCATGGTGACCTACCTTCCAACCAGGGGCACCGTGAGCGCTGAAACGTCACGTATCTATGACGTCACTTTGTTCATTAGAACACTGCGAGCGTGAATCGGACCGGCTGTGAACATGCTGTTAGCGCTGTAAGCTTGTTTCGGACCGCAGCCATAGAATGGACTGAGCGTTGCGATAGACAAACGCGCGCTCGCTGTAGAAAGAGAGATACTATATGGGAGGCCTATTTTGTCTCTTTTCCTAGCATCTCATTGGTGATTTTGTCCCTCCCCATATAGAAAATTACCAATGAGATGCTAGGAAAAGAGACAAACATAGGCCTCCCATATAGCACGGGTGTCATTAGGGTGCAAACCCATGGCAGCGGGAAAGCGTAACGCGGAACAAGAACGGACCAATCGTGAGCGTAGCGAAAACTGCAGAACGCTCGCGATTGGTCATGCTCTCGTTCCGCGTTACGCTATTCCACTGCATGAGTTCGCACCCTTAGGGTGCCATTACATGGAGCGCGGAAACGCGGAAACGCGGAAACGCGGAAGAGAATAGTAAGGGCCGTGGCACATAAAAAAACTTAAGCAGTAAGACTTAAGACGTAAGCGAATTGACCAATCACGATCGAACAGTAAGGCAGCCATATTTTAAGACGTAAGGCTGAAAAATTCCATAAAAATGAAATTCTTAAGTTTTAAGTCTTACGGTGAACCAATGACAAAGAAGTTACTAGACATTGATTACGTTCTTAGAACATATATACCTGGAAGGGAAATGATGGATTGAGCCTGTGTCCAAGTTGGGTGCGAGAGAGAACTACGTTTTAAGAAAAGAGAAAGGCAGATTGTAACCTTGGTCTGCAATGCGCAAACGCGAATTAGCGAATAGCGTGAATAGCGTCATTGCTATAGGAGGTTAGGGTTAGGTATCAGTGACATCGGTATGCAAAATTATTTCGAAAAAAAGTTATTTCATAGGAAAAGAAAATGCCAGGCCCATATTGTGTCTTATGCCTTACGTTTCAATATGGCTGCCTTACTGTTCGACCGTGATTGGTCAAAATTCTTAAGTCTTAAGTCTTACTGCTTAAGTTTTTTTATGTACCCGGGCCCTAACCAGATTTTCGCGTTCCGTTCCGTCTGTTTTGATTGCCTTGTATTACATGGAGCAGATTTTGAGCGGAAAAGCGGAACGGAAAATTATAAAATATTAATTCCTACCTCTCTTTCTACAGCGGGCGCGCGTTTGTTTATCTCGCAATGCTCAATCCAGTCTATATATCTATGAATTCACTATTCACTACGGGACCAACATGGTCAGCGCAAGCGAGACACTATTGTCGCCTCTCTGATTATGTAGGACTCTACGGTATACTCATGGCCCATTGGTGATTGGTGTACTCATAGACATAGTAGCATGACGAAAGAGAGCGCTATGCTCTGTGCGAGCGAGAGAGAACGCAAGGGGCACGAAACAGAGTATGTCCTTTTCTACGTGGGCATCGGCCCCCACTCCTTAAATAAAGGCAAACGCTCGGTCTAGATATACTATGTCTATGGGTGTACTTCTATATGTACCCCCCATAGACATAGACTACGTTTACACGTCACCCCTAATCGGGTTTAATAACATCCGTAGTTCTAAGGCTGGCCAATCCACAGTCATTCCATTCTTCAGAGGCATAGCTGTGATTGGCCAGTTTTACAACTACGGATGTTATTAAACCCGATTAAGGGCCAATTTCACCAAGTCCGGTTAGATTAACCGACGGTGATAAAGGCAAACGCTCGGTCTAGGGGTGCGTTCGGGGAGACGCTATTAGCGCTAACAGCGTCGTTCTATCTTTGTTACTTATTGAAAGTTGAACAAAGACAGAACACGCTCATAGCGCTAAAAGTGTGCTCCCCGAACTCAGCCTAGATATACTATGTCTATGGTCTAGATATACTATGTCTATGGTACCCCCCTTACCTCAGGGAACGAATCGTTGACGCGTAGTGTACACGTGCACTTAACCTCGAAGTATTTCATGAAACGTTTTCAAAGAGAGCGCAATAAAAAACCTCCTGGTGATCATTTTTAAATTCGTCAAATATGCCTGCTCCATGCGAAGACATTATCGAGGACATCGAAGATTTAATCGCGTCGCAAGACATAACGCCTAAAGAAAGATATAGCTCGAGGAAACATATTACGATACGACCGAAACGAAGAAAGCAAGCGCAGGAGGAAGTTTCACAGCCGCCTATCTTGTCAAGTATAATACCCGGCACGCAGACGATCTACGTGAAAACATGGGGTTGTACGCACAATAATTCGGACACTGAATATATGGCCGGACAGCTGGCATTGTACGGTTACAATTTGTCTGACGATAAGCTAAAAGCAGACTTGTGGCTTCTGAATTCGTGCACCGTCAAGAATCCTGCGGAGGATCAGTTTAGGAATGAAATTGAATATGGCAAGAAAATGGCCAAGCACATTGTAGTTGCCGGGTATGTTGTCACATGAAAGTATGATGAGCAAGAATTAAATTATTAAAAAATTTGAGATAAAAGAAAAATATAGGTGGATATACTATCACAGATATTTTACTTGAGAGAGTTAAACTAAAAAATTTTCTTTAAAAAGAAATTTATTTTTCTTTAGATATTTATTTTTCTTTAGATATATTTTTTTAAACAATTGTGCAGAAATGTGTAATGGCAAAATATTAGTATTAATTTAATAATATATTAGAATAAATAACATTACCTCATTAAATATTATCTGATATTTTTACTTAATTGGAAATTAATATATAACATTTTACAGTTCTTATTTTTTAATTTTAAGAATTTCACAAAACTATACATGAATACATATATGCATCAATAGCAATCAATTTAATAATATAGCAAGTATAGAGGGTGAAGCATCTAAAACAGGCCATCTGAATAACTCAGCTGCTTTTGACAATAGAAAAAAATCAGATCAATTTTGCTTAGTTTCAAGGAGGACATAATCTGATGTCAATAGTTTTTTTGTAGATGCATGGTCTGATGCATTTTTCTTTATCGCCAAAAGCAGCCATTATTCAGGTGGCCTGTTTTAGATGTCTCATTCTGTATAAATATCAAAAGGTATTACTTATCAACATCAGATTCCTAATAGAAATTTATATTTACAATTTTAATTTGTATTCAATTCTAAACATATAATTTTATTAATCGTTTACAGATGTGTACCACAAGGTGCTCCAAAATCCTCCTTCCTACAAGGATTGAGTATAATCGGAGTACAACAGATTGACCGAGTAGTGGAAGTTGTGGAGGAAACCTTAAAAGGAAATACAGTGAAATTTTTACATCAGAAAAAGAATTCTGGTAAGAAGATGGGTGGCGCTTCGCTGAGTCTTCCAAAAGTGCGGCGTAATCCACTTATTGAGATCATAGCTATCAATACAGGTTGCTTGAATCAATGTACCTACTGTAAAACAAAACACGCGCGAGGAGAACTGGGCAGTTATCATCCAGAAGAGATAGTTGAGCGAACTAAACAGGCTTTTGAAGAGGGCGTGTGCGAGTTGTGGCTCACATCGGAAGACACAGGCGCCTACGGTAAAGACATCGGTTCCAGTTTGCCGGAATTGTTATGGAAACTGATAGATGTGATTCCGGAAGGTTGTATGATGCGTGTAGGCATGACCAATCCACCATACATCCTCGAGCATCTGGACGAGATGGCTAAAATCTTGCGACATCCCAAAGTCTACAGTTTCCTGCACATTCCGGTGCAATCTGGCAGCGATCAGGTGCTAGCCGATATGAAACGGGAGTACACATGCGCTGATTTCGAGCACTCGGTGAATTTCCTGAGGGATCGAGTGCCAGGTCTAACCATCGCCACGGATATTATTTGCGGCTTTCCCACTGAAACAGAAGTGGATTTCGAACAGACGATGACACTCTGCCAAAAATATAAGTTTCCGAGCCTCTTCATCAATCAGTTTTTTTCCCGGCCCGGCACACCCGCTGCTAGGATGCCAAAGGTGCCCGCACAAGAGGTGAAGACCAGGACTAGAAGATTATCGGAATTTTTCCAATCGTACGAACCGTACCAACATAAAGTGGGACTGTTGCAGAAAGTGCTAGTGACAGAGGTGTCACACGATAAACAGCATTACGTAGGCCATAACAAATTCTACGAACAGGTGTTGATTCCCATGAAGGAGAAGTATATGGGAAAAATGGTTGACGTGAAAATTATAGAAGCGACAAAGTTTTCCATGAAAGGGGAACCAATTAGCGAAGGCGCATCCCCGGCACTAAAATCTTCTCTATCGCGAGAAATAGCCCTCCACAGAGCACTAGAAGAGACGAAGCCGTCGAGATATGGAATAGCAACGATTACGACAATCTTTTTTGCTGTAATAATTAGGATATTATGGAAATTTTTAACTTAAATATATATAACTTATTCTAATATTATATATAAATAGAGATTATATATACTGAATACATTATATACATTACACACAATGTGAAATAAATGTGGAATTTTATGTGCATAATTGAATAGACATTTTCGAAAATATTTATTTAATGTAGATATAAAGCTTAATAATAACTTTATAATAAATCTTATAATAAATCTTATAATCATCTTTGGATAAAGAAAAAGACACGAGTTTATACAGAAAATACTATATTTAATCGACAATACAGGAACCTACCCTGAAAGGGGCTTACAACATTCAATTAATTTAATGTAGACTCACTATAATAATTCTTGGACACCTCTCTAAATATATATTTTCTAGAATCATTTCTAGCACACAAAAAGATTCGGAATTCTTCAAATTTAAGATATATAATAATAATATGCAGAAAAGATTGAGCATTTTTGCATGTTTCATAACATAGCTTCGGACAAGTGTATTATAAAACTCTATATACTAAGTATTAAAATATGTTTCATTCTTATAAAAATATCGAGATTTTTCTTATTGCTTATCAATGACGCATTTTATTTGGTATCACTTTCTCCTTGCTAAACAAATTTCTTTTTTTTTTTAAATATAGCTTAATCTAATAAACGCATTGGATTATTGCCAAAATAATTTTTGAGTATTAAAGATGAAAAAAAAAAATATTCAACTTCTTATTGCATTAACCTGTGCAAGTTGTAATCGCGAATTAATATCAAAACAATCGGATTTTTCTTATATAAAAATGCTATAATAATACTTTTTAGTGACACAGACAATCTTGCAAAGCGATAAATTTAATATGTTATAGGTTAAAAAGTATGTTATTGTTTAAAATATGACATATAAAATAAAACGGGACAATAATATTCGAGTCTTCGAATTAAAATATCAAATAACGAGTTTGATTTAAAGAAGTAATGATATAAAATATTGGAAATAAATAATTTAAAAGATTTTAATGAGTATCTTTGTGCGCGTGTGTGAATCATGCATAATCACGAGTAAATCATGATATTATTAATAACATTTTCTCACTCGGATTATTTCGTGATCAATATTTTTATCGAAGACGCACAAATGTTTCTACATCTATTTTTTTTAGAGAGCATAAAGAGAGCATTAATGAAGCAGATTTATTTGACATTAACAAAGCAAATGATAAGATTTTTGTTGCTTGTTTTGCTATATTATAAATGATAATTTTACTGAAACAATGTTAGCCTAAAATATTTATCCTATATTAATCTTTTCTTTTCGAAGCACATCCATGAAACGAGATATCCATGAGATATCATTTGAATTATATAATATAACAATCGTACTTTTTTATATCGTTTTAAGAATGTAGCGTAAATAAAATATCGACCACGCGACTTTGCGCTCGGTACTGACACGAAATATATTACTATTACTCGATTGCTCGATTATTTACATACAGTCTTTTTTTTTCGTATATGCACCGCTACAGAAACAACAATACAAATGAGATAAACTAGCACTCATTTAAAAGATAAGAAAAATGTAGAGAGACTTAATTAAAAAGGGAAATTAAAAAAAGGAAAATATACAAACAAAAAAAACGAAAATAGAATATGGCACCCCATTAAGGGCTTTACTCGAGGATGAAAGATGCTGAAACGCTCGATCTTTCTTTCTCTCATAATTATATCAGTTTTTAAAATATGGCAATTCTTATGGCGCAGGGGAGGACGGAGAAGGGAAACTTAAACATGGCACAAATGGTATAATTCTTTGTACCGGCTATTTGACGTCAGGAAATACGGAGCAAAGAGAGGAGTGTTTTTTTCTCTTATAAACATTAAATTCCTCGTTTCGGCATAAAATCTTCAATTAGTTTATTCAATAATCTAAGACGGAAATATTAAAATGTTTCAACCATATTTGCGGAATGATAATTCTTTTGCCGATTATATGATTGTCATCATCGAGTGCGCTCCATCTTTTCCGATGACGGTCTTTTCTTATTTATTTTCTGCTCTAACACTAATATTTTCGCATCCTTGCACTTAGCCTTCTGTTTCTCCTACTGCTATGCAATTTCGATAATACTTCTTGAACGATTCGAGCAAAACGATCGGGTGCACGTAAATATAGGCTTGCATCAGAGAGAGAAGAATGTGTAGATGTTTGCAAATTATATATCTATGTAATTAGAATTGAAGAGACAAATTTATAACAGGGTATAATACCGGGAATAACATGCTACAAAATTTAGAAAATTAGTTTTAAGAAAAGTATCTGATTTCTTAACCTAATTGTTTCATTTGTCACTATGAACATTCTATATGTGACAAAAGACAACAGTGCACTGAACATATTTCTTGGGCTGCGTTCCAATAGTTACTGCCAATACAGAAATTCTATAGTTTACGTCATGTATACTATAGATTTTCACTATTGGCAATGAATATCGGAACGCAGCCTTGGAATCATCCCTCAAATAATTATCGATTTTATCATAATCCGTCCTACTGTTTCATGGATTCGTTAAAATAATTCGACTGTGGAGTAGAGTCAAATAAGGAACGAAATATCTTTTTCGCTTCAAAGATTGGAAACTTCGAAATCTCGTAATGTCTCGTGAAAGATGTTAGACGAATGAGAATCGCGTCCCGATGGACGTCGAGTTCGCGCGCCACGATCGTCCCAGCAGTTATCGTGTTTTACAGGATGATTCCGCGTGCGCGCGACAGAGAGAATGAGAGAAGAGCGGCTTCTGCGGACGGGCTTCGGCCGCAAGAAACGCGCGCGGAACCGCGATCGACTTTCCTCGACTTCATTATGGAACCGAGAGCGCCGGGTAAAAAGCGGAATATCCGGGCGGCGCAAAGTGTTTCACCGGTCCCTCTTACGGGGTTTTACGACCGTTGCTTTTATGGTTTCTCAATTCTCTTTCCCCTCTCGCATTCTCGTTCTCTTCCTTTCTCCATTCCTCGCAGGTAACTCCCTTTAACTGCTAATTCCTTGTTTTCTCGTCCCTTCTATTTATCTCTTTCTCTCTCTCTTTCCACGTCTCTTTGCAGAGTCCAGAGTAAAGGTTGTTCCGAAGATCTAGGAAGAAGAGGACTGGAGGATGATTCGGTTACTCCGCTGTCATCATTCCAGAGATTTAGATCATAGTTCGATCATTAGTCCACATAGTGTCGATGGATGAGGCAAATTAGGGTGTTCTCTAATTTTATAGCGCTTAAAAATCATGTATAAGCGGAATTTACGACGACATACGCTTGTGCGTACCACCTCTTTTTTACCAGATAAAATATTACAGAAAGGCACAGTTAAGGCACTTTTTCTGCAAAGATATATTAATGAACCATACGGGTGATGCAACCGAATTCATCTCGATGCACAGATTACGTCGCCATTGCGCCAGTTCCTGTTCGAACGATCATTGGGCTAACAAGAAGTATTAATCGCTTAAATATTAATTTACGTTTAATTGTATCTGTATAAAATTACTTTTGATTCTCGACGTCTACAATATATCGTCTATAATACACATTTCCCTCTCGGTATAGAGTCGATGCGACTCTGTAACTGGACTAGTTTTTCTCTCCCCCGAATGCGATCAAGGTGTAAAATCAGAGGATGTCGCTTTATAATCGCCGCAGATTCCGCTTGCTCTGCCTCGAACCGACGATGAGACGTTTATTGTTACGTTTCGTCGGGGTGGCCAATAAAGGCGTTTTGCACGGGCCCGTATGCGGCTTCGATGAGCAGGAGATGCAGAATTCGATGGAGCAGCCTTGCCTCGAGCAGGTTCCCACGTTCTTCTCGCTGTCCACATGGCAGGGAAATCTGCATCTCGGACATGGTAGAAGATATTCGCCACTTGCGAGCGTACGACTAGCCTGAAATGAGAGAGAAACTTCAGGTTAAAAGAGAAATAAAGTAAAAGATTGGTGAATAAAATAATATATAGTCGTATTGCATAATAAGGAGAATAAGCACGGTATATAGAGCATAATATAATTAATAACTTTTAATATAAAGTCTCGATTAATATATATTTTTCTTAATCTTAAGAAACCTATAAATTTTATAACATTTTTCCAGGTATACTGTGTGTATGTGTATAAAATTTTAAGAAAAGCGAACAGATAATTTCTTGAAAATTTAATGTTTTATATAGATATTTTTTCATTAAGTACTTTTTGAGTTATTTTATATCGTAATCTGGCGTCACTATAAATGCCGCACCCTGTATATATCGTATATATATATATATTTTTTCTCTCATTATATATATTTTATACTACACATTTTTTAAGAAATAAAACTTTTCACTTATATTTTTTCTCAAGCAATTCTTATATCAACCATAATCCGATTAAATTCTATTTATTTCTTACAATATGTGACAATAATAATAATAATTCACAAATTAATAATTTTAACCACGAATAAGATAGAAATCATTAAATTTTTTTAGCCGTATTTCGATATACATATCTACAGAGTAAATATATGCAACGATATAAATCGGAATCGATGATAGATAAAGTAGAATCTAATATATATGTACTTAATGACCTAATATATAAAAATGTATTTTTTACATTACTCTACGATGCTAATGTAGAAATGTTAAGAATTTATCCGAATGTGTTTCTTCCAAAAAAAGGCATTTGTCGAAAAAATATTGTAATATTTCTAACTAGCGCTTACCTATTGCATTTTTTAATATCAGCGATATATAATAAATCTTAATTTTTATATGTGAATTTAACGATTTAAATGTCCTTTAATCTAAAATGACAAAAAAGCTTATAATCTAAGATCTTTGATTAAAATCCTCTGTAGAAAGTCACGCTATATTATAATTAATGAAATTAGCTGCATCAATGTATACCTGCTCATCAGTAAATGACTTATTGTGTTAATGTTAATGTAAAGCGAAAGATGCATTGACGCATGCATCAATACACGATATGACGTTTAAATAAGATATAACGATTAAAATGAACAAGCACGAAATGAAAAAAGCGAATCTCTACGAAAAAACATTAATTTTTCATACGAAATCTTTTTTCTTGATTTGTATATTTTAAAAACTTAAATTAATTTTCCAAAAATTATAAATGCTTTGTAAATTAGAATAAATATACAAAATGCGGGGGAAATCAAAGTACAAACATGGAAGAGGATAAAGGGCCTAGGAGGATAAGCATGTAAAAGTTGCCCCCGCACGTATCAAGTCTAGATTGACACCATAGATTGGCATCTATGTGACTAAAAAATCCTGCAAATATCAACCAAAAAATTACATGTTTGTAGGAGTTATAGAGGGAGAAAGCAAAATCAAAAAAATGGTTTTTCTCGAAAACGGCTGAACCGATTTTGATGAAAAAAATATATGTTATGAACATCAATGAGACTATTTTAAGAATAAATTTAAAAAAGATTCTAACAAAAAATATGGGTAAAAAAATATTTTTGAATTTTTCAAAAATTTTTTTTGAGTTTATGTTTCAGAGTAACACTTCCAATTTTTTTTTCAAAAGAAACCTTAAAATGTCTGCTTTCACACATATTTTCCCCAATTTTTTCGTAGAGGTACTTCATGGCGAAAAATGATGAAAATCATGCATGCGGCAAACCACGCTTTCACAGCACACTCTCGCTCCAGTCGCGTACTTCGAACCCGACTGACCGGTTGACACTATATTAAACTAATTTTAGTCTGTGATCATATGTCACCTTTGGCAACCTCCCGAATCCGCTATTCATTTGTTTTCAACTCTCTAAGGTTTACGACAGATATCCGAGCGTTTTATTCTGAAAGCCAACTTCAGCCGTGACTTTTGCTTCCCGCTCACATGAAACATCTGAAAAGAACTAATAATAAGAATCTTTCGTTATTTCATGATTCTTCTTGAAAACTGATTGATGTGTATTCACGACGCATAATAACTGCTAGCAATTAACGTATGCACAGAAGTACATATACTCCGTCCAGCGAGAGAATGATCTCGGGTCGGACAAAAACTCGTCCGTTTCGCGCAGGTCTCCACCCACAGAAACCGTATCTACATATAGGTATTGAGTACCTCGCTATGTTCTCCCCACTTTGCCTTGCTTTCTCCCTCTATAACTCCTACAAAAATGTAATTTTAAGGTTGATATTTGCAGGATTTTTTAGTCACATAGATGCCAATCTATGGTGTCAATCTAGACTTGATACGGGGGGCAACTTTTACATGCTTATCCCCCTAGGCCCTTTTCATATAAAAATAAATCAAAAATCTAGAATAAAGATTTCCAAGGGGTTGGTCACTAGTGGTTATAGTGTAGATTACCTCAGATTATCTGAGACTACCTTAAGGGGCTACATACACCTAGTGGTAGGAAAAATAGGGGGAAATTCAACAATTTTTTCTTTATAAAAAAAATTTTTTTATTAAAAAATTTCTAGCTACATCTTAAAGTAAGTCCTTTAATGTATATTTAGTAAAATTTTCATTAATAAATATTGAAAAATGTGTCGTGGAGACCTCATCTCCTGGAAGCTGTTCGACGATGCGGTAACCATTGTAGCTCCTCCAATTTTTATCTGAAATCAAAAACCAAAAAATTTTCTTAAAATATATAAAAAAAGAAAGTTTTTGTTGTAATTGATTTTTAAAATTTTGATTTTTCGAAAAATGGCAGCCGTTTGAATGCAAAGATATGATTTTTAATCTGATACCTTCGCATTCAAATGGCCGCCATTTCTCAAAAAATCAAAATTTTAAAAATCGGCTACGACAAAAACTTCATTTTTTTATATACTTTAAGAAAATTTTTTAGTTTTTGATTTCAGATAAAAATTAGAGGAGCTACAATGGTTACAGCATTGTGGAACAGCTTCCAGGAGATGACGTCTCCACATCTCCAAACATTTTTCAATATTTATTAATAAAAATTTTACCAAATATACATTAAAGGACCTACTTTAAAATGTAGCTAGAGATTTTTAAATAAAAAAATTTTTTGTATGAAAAAAAAATTGTCAAATTTCCCCCTATTTTCCCTACCGCTAGATGTATGTAGCCCCTTAAGAATACCTAAAATGACCTACAGATTATTTGATATTACCCTTAAATTACTTAGATTTCTTATTAGATTACCCAAGATTACCTGAGAATGCTAAAAATGATTTAGAATTACCAAAAATTACCTTGGATTACCCAAAATTTCCTTTGGATTGCCGCCGAATTACCTAGCCCTTGTACAAAAATTACCTCAGTGACCAATTCCTCGAAGATTTCGTTTTCGAGAAAAACATTTACGATGTTAAAAATTGAAAAATTAATAATATATTAAATCGATGATTTTTCTCGTACTCTATATGTATAAATGATACATCAAACATAAGTAATATTCTAGTTTTCTAGTATATTAATAAAGATTCTTTTCCATAAAGTTGTGATAAGAAAAATATTATCTTCTTTATAAATTTTTTTTATACTTACTTTATAAGTTTATTCTAAAAATTTAATATAATTTTTTATAATATCTCTTATCTTTCATATTTCTATTCATTAAGAGTATATACAGATATTAAATATAATAGAGATTTTTTAAAGTTGCAAATTTTATTGCTAGTGTGATTATTGCTCAAGAGTAAATATGTATATGTGTACGCGGGATGTGTCATTGACGGTATACACAAAGTATAATTATATAAAGTTGACGAACTGGCAACATGATTGTCCGCCGCAGTCGATACTTTTGAAACCTTTCTTAGAACTTTGATAAGCAGGCCTATCGTGTAACCTTCAGGCTGAAGATTTGCATGAAGGTAGATAATGTGAGAGAAACGCAAGCGTGCATTTCTTTCTCTTGTCAGCTCATTGACGTTATAGTGCGTCAACTTGTAATTTTAATAAGAAAAAAACACGCAATTGTAGAATTAACAGATATTAAGGAACATAAAGATAACACATAGTAGAAAAAAAAAAATTATATAAAATTATAATCACAAACGTTTGCTCACAATATTCAAGTTTATAGCATTAAAACTTAGTAATAATAAATAAATAAAATTTTAATTTTTTTAAATTGTTGGAACAATATAAATAAAAATATTGTCGATTATTATGCGAGAAAGAAAGAAAGAGAAAAAAGAGAGTTAGTGCATCATTATCCTTAAATAATTGTCATGTTATTTATTTTGTATTTTTGCAAACGTCTCATTACGCATCGCTAATAAGCAAATATAGCTATCATGCGTAAGAAAATCCAGCATTGAATACAAACTTCGATTTTTTCACTGTTATAAAAATATTAGGTCTACCGGAAAGTTCTGTCCGTTTTTGGAATAAAACAAAATACGGACAGAACTTTCCGGTAGACCTTATATATATATTTCTTATACTTTATAAAAAGATAACTGAGAGAAAAATTTACAACATTGCTGTTATGATCGATATTAATGTCAACAATAAAACTATGTTATATCTATAACTGATCAAATTATTTTAAGTTATTTTTTTTCGAAATATACAAAAACATTATTAATCCAGAATATAGAACAGATTTATGAAAATTCTATAAGAACACGTCAGTCTGATACATACATATTGTATATTGACATTGCAGAAAATATTTTTAGCTATTACATATTTTTTAAATAGAAATTGTGTTTTGATAGAAATTTCATGGATTGTGTTTTAAAGATATTAGAGAGAAATAGAGTTAAAAAAACACCGAAATACACAATATAATATACCAGCTGGTTCAAAAAACACATGTAAATGCTAGGAATGCGAGGAAATTCTAAATCAACAAAGACATGTAAGAAAAACAGGTTCTCCGTTTATTGAATGAAGCGCTGCTTACTATATAATTGAACATACAATTACAGCAA